TCGCACCACCGTGGCTCCGCCTTCATCAGGTCCGGTCAGGATCTCCGCTGCCGCCGCCATTGTTGTTGCCGCTACCGTCTCTGTCGCCGCTGCCAACACTCCTGGCCCCAAACCAGGAGGTGGGTGCCCCCTGCCACCTAGGGCAGGTACCCATTTATCTACTTGTATTTACCTTTCGAACCGCTGGGTTGGCGGGAGCTGGGACGGGGGACGGGAGCTCACTCCGGCCGCGGTGGGGATTCGAACAGCCATTGAGGCTGTTTGCTACAGATGTTACTAGCAGACATTGTACTGCCTGCGCCACCGCTCCCCTATTTAGGGTTGCCAACCTCCAGGTGGTGGCTGGAGTTCTGCTATTAGAGCTGACCAGGGCTCTCTTTGTAGAAAAAGCCCAGCAGGAACTCATTAGCATAACAGGCCACACCCAACACCAGAAACCCATTAGCCTATTAGGCCACACCCCTGACAGCACAGCTCATTAGCACATTAGGCCGCACCCCCATGTTACCAGGTGTGGTCATCCAGCCCACCCACCTTTTGCTTGTTATTCTGTTTACCTTGTTTGTTGTCAAAACCCAGGGCCTTTTTTTGTAGCAGGAACTCCTTTGCATGTTAGGCCGCACACCCCTAATGTAGCCAATCCTAATGAGTTTCTGCTGCTGGGTGTGGCCTATTATGCTAATGAGTTCCTGCTGGGCGTGGCCAACTCGGGAGCCAGCCAGAACTCTGTTCCTGTGCGTTCCTGCCCAAAAATAGCCCTGCAGCTGACCTCCAGGCAACAGAGATCAGTTCCCCTGAAGAAAATGGCCGCTTCGGAAGGTGGACTCTATGGCACTGTACCCCATCGTAGTCCCTCCCCTCCCCAAGCCCTGCCCTCCTTATGTTCCACTCCCAAATTCTCCAGGTACTTCCCAGCCTGGAGCTGGCAACCCTACTCTGCCCTCTGCCTCTCGGGAGACCTGGTGATACTGGCAGGATCACTAGGCCGACAACTGCAATCCTTCCCCTTTCCATTCTGTGCGAGAGCCAGTTTGGTGTGGTGGTGAAGTGCGTGGACTCTAATCTGGGAGAACCAGGTTTGATTCCCCACTCCTCCACATGCAGCTGCGGGTGTGACCTCAGTCACAGGTTCTTTCAGAGCTGTTCTCTCAAGACCAGTTCTCGAAAGAGCTCTCTCAGCCCCGCCTACATCACAGGCAGTCTTCCCTCCAAGCTGAGTTAGTGTGAGCTAGCTCACAGTTTTTTAGCCTCCGGCTCACACATTTTTGTCTCCGGTCAGGAAGGATGGGGCTCCAGAGCAAGCTAATTTATGCCGCAGCCAAATTGCTCGCTCTCAACTTTAATGCCAGTAGATCACAAAGTAGAATTTTTGCTCACAAGACTCCACAGCTTAGAGGGAGCATTGATCACAGGGTGTCTGTTGTGGGGAGGAGAGGGGAGGGGAAGGGAAAGGAGATTGTAAGCCGCTCTGAGACACCTTTGGGTAGTGAACGGCGGGGTATAAATCCAATCTCTTCTTCTTGAAAAAAGAGCAGTTTCTGGCAAGAGCTCTCTCAGTCCCACCTACCTCACAGGGTGTCTGTTGTGGGGAGGGGAAGGGAAAGGAGATTATAAGCCACTCTGAGATTCCTTCGGGTAGTGAAGGGCGGGATCTAAATCCAATCTCCTCCTCCTCCTCCTCCTCCTCCTCCTCCTCTTCTTCTTCCTCCGAAGCAGGGATAAAACTGCTGGGATGTATTCTCAAGGCTATTTACTGGGCAAACCAATCGATTAACCTGGAGAAAACCTAAGCAGTTTGTCCAACCAGACGTTAACCTGGAGGGCAAGTCTGGCGAGGAGTACGAAGGCTCTCCAGGAACCCGCCTTAACCTTTTCCAGCTGCTGCCCTAATGCCGTTCTCACTCAGCAAGCTCTAGGCAACCTCCGAAGCGAAGACACTGCAATGTGAACTCAGGAGTGAAGACGTATGATTCCAGCATGGCACGCTCATGGCAGCTAGAGCCTGACCCAGATTCTGGGATGTATTCGTAGCCTGCCCGAAGCCAAGGTAGAGATTGTGTTCAGGCACCGGATTCATGCACGCGGCGGGTGGTCTGAGAACGGTGCTTGGCGTGGCTGTATGGCTAAACCTGTCTTGAGCCTGGTTCTGAAAATAACACAGCACACGGTCTAGCAATTCATTGACAAAAAATAGGGGCAGTCTTGCATAATGTGGACACCCATTTTCACCTCAAGGATTACCAGCTGAGTATGCTTGCCAACTTCCAGGTGGGCCCTGGATAGCTCTCAGAATTACAACTGGTATCCAAACTGCAGAGCTCAATTGCCCCGGAGAAAATGGCTGCTGCCCTGGAGGGTGGGCTCTACGGCATTATACTCCAACGAGGGTCCCACTCTTCTCCAAACTCCCGCCCTCCCCAGACACCACCATACAAATTCCCAGGGATTTCCCAGCCCGTCCATCCCGTTGCTTCTGCCATATTCAGGGCTATTTTGGGGGCAGGAACGCACAGGAACGGAGTTCCGGCTGGCTTCAGAGTTGGCCACGCCCACTACAGCCAAAACCTCTGCGTGCGTG